CCTGGGGCCGGGCCTGGGGCCCAGGGCTGCAGACTGATTCCGAGAGTCGTTTTCGTCGCTCAATCCCTCTCGCTGTCACTGGGCGTCCCCTATGGGTGCGAGAGAGACAGCGACGAAAACGACTCTCGGAATCGGTCTGCTGGGGCTGGTTCGGAGCCACGCGGTGCAGGGTACAGTGTGGAGATAGGGTGCGTTGGGGCCCTGCGCCCTGTAGTGCTAGGCTGCTGCGTTTGGCGCCGCGACGTGGAGCGTCACTGCAACGTACGTGCATCCAACACTACTGGGGCCGCAGCGCCAAACGGGGTGGACGTACACTGATAGAAAAGATGCTGTTAATTAACAGCATATATCCTGTTAAGTATTTTAGCAACACTTGTTGTAGAAGAACGGCATATTGTTGGACACTGAGTCGTTATCCAACAGCAGTGTTGTAAAAAGGGATGATGGCCCTCTGTATCTGACCTCTGACAATAAGTTGTTGTGTAACAGAATTACCATTTCCAAATGGCACCAACCTGTTCATAAACAACACTTTTCTGTTTTCAAACAAAAGAGTTGGGTAATTATTCCGAATAGCGCCTCCACCTATATAAGGTCAAAGTTTGGTATCATTAGACAGGTATTGACGAGTACTGTTCGAAACTGCAAGAAATATGTGGCGCTCGAGAAGGATATTGCTATAAATGTGTATTCAAGTACCTCACCCTAACCTCGAACAATGCAGCGATATCGTGAAATGCGCTCGTACTGTCAACTTATCACGCATTAGGTAGAAGGGCAAATCTTAGGGGGATGTTAGATCTTTCTTGCAGACCCACAATTTACCCCCAAATATTTTCCCTTCTATTAATTCGGGAAAGTTGACACGGCCGTCTGCTGAGGTGACAGGTGGCGCCATCTTGGAGCGGCTTCTGTAAACTCGTCGGCCCCGTCCAGTTTACTTGAATCAATAGAAGGGAAAATATTTGGGGGTATATTGTAGGTCTGCGAGGTAGATCTAACATCCCCCTAAGATTTTCCCTTCTACCTGATGCGTGGTAAGTTGACAGCTCGAGCGCATTTCACGATATCGCTGCATCGTTAGAGGTTAGGGTAGGGTACTTGAATACACATTTATAGCAATATCCTTCAAGAGCGCCACATATTTCTTGCAGTTTCGAACAGTACTCATCAATACCTGTCCAATGATACCAAACTTCCGCCCTATATAGGTGGAGCCGCTATACGGAATAATTACCAAGAGTTGTTATACATTTACAAAAAAAATGTCGAGGGTCCTAATAGTCTTATCCAATACTAGCAGTCATTCAGAAACGCTCTTTTCTGTTTACAAACAGCACTGTTCTTCAACGCGGTCTCTCTGTTATTCACAAGAAGGAAATAGGAGTTTCCTGACGGCTCAAACATTTGTTTTGTAACAGTTCGTGCAGTTCTTGGACAGTTCACCGCTGTTTAAAAATTGGAAGTGTTGCTAAAAAACTTTACAACACAAATGCTGTTCAGAAACAACAGAATTTATTTTGACATAGTTGGAGTTTGATTTGAGCCGTGAGCTGCAAAATGCTCCGGCAAATCTTCAATTGAATGACCAACAACACCAGTGTTGTTTTTAAATGACAGAATACCGTTCCAAAACAGCATATATCATTAATTTTACAAACAAGACGTTCTGTTTTCCAGCATTGGAAATCGTTCAATAACACTATATTTGTTGTTTTCTACAATGATGAAACTTGCTGTTTCCTAACAGCATTTGTGCTGTTTTAAGTTCCGATGACACGTGCTGCTTAAAAGCAAATCACTCGTTGGTAAATGTGCTGTTTTCCTACAGTTTCTTTTAACAGTGTATTACAATGAAATAGTTCCTTAATTACAAAGTTTGTTGTGCTCAAAATACTCTGCTGTGACAAGCTACTTTGAATTGTAATGCCTAAAGTAGTTTTTTGGGAGTGTGCTCCAGGCCTGGACTCACACTCTAGAGTGCAGGCTCTGGACTCTGGAATGGAAGGGCTCGTTGGCGTGACACCTTTGTCGCGGCCTTTGGAGCAGACGGCCCGTCGCACCTCGTTCTCGTTCGGGGATGAAGGCGCGGAGAGGCAGCCCCCGACTTTGAGCCAGTAATTAGGGCCAGGGCTCGACATGACCCTCTTTAGTCGCGTGCACCGGAATTATTTACATCTCTCTCGTCCACTCTCCCCCTCCCTCCCTCCCTCCACCGCGCCGCGCTGACCCGAGCGGCAAGCGCCGGGGGTCGGGTCGGGTCGAGTCGCTTGCTTGCACCCCGCACAGTCGTATGAATGGAAAAAGGAGAAAATAAATAAATTCAAAAAAAGCAAAAGGGGAAAAGAGAACGGCGGCGGCGGAAAGTCGGGCCAACATGTTTGTAAAAATCTAATGAGCAGCGCACAGCGCGCACGCTCTGAGAGAGAGAGAGAGAGAGAGAGAGAGAGAGAGAGAGAGAGAGAGAGAGAGAGAGAGAGAGAGAGAGAGAGAGAGAGAGAGAGAGAGAGAGGAGGAAGGGGAGGCTTTCGAGTGCAGGCATTCGGACACCGTGGCGGCCATCAGACGGGGTGGCCCGCCAGGCCAGGGCCAGGCGACTGTCCTTGGCTGGGGCGTTAAACTAATTTCCTCAATTCTCGTCACCTTCGGGGTGCGATAAGCCCCCGCCGCGCCCCGCCACACCCTCGGGGACGCAAACAAGGGGAGGGGGAAGGCGAGGCCGTTACTCCTGACGGCAATGAAAATTAGCGCAAATTTACAGATTCTGTTTGGAGCAATCCGCTCTCCGAGTGCTCGCTGCCGGCCGGGCTGCTGGCCGCTCGGGGTGTGGTTAGCACTGCTGGCCCCGGACCGGGAAAAGCGAGAAAGCGGCGCGGCGCCTCACCCTGCCAGTGTCGTGGCACACAGCGCCACACAGCGCCACACAGCGCCACACAGCGCCACACAGCGCGCCTCGCAGCAGGCGGAACGCAAACAACTTTCCGCTGTCTCGGGGCATTGGGCGAATCTGCTGGCCCGACACTGCAGTGGCGGGGACAGTCCCACACCTGGATTCGCAGAGTGGTTCCTGCACTCTGAATTTCTTACGGTGAAAGGCTGCTCCAACATATTAAGGCGAAGAGTTCTCTACAGTATGAGATAAAGTCAGCTTCACGACCTCGTAGACAATTTTTACCATGATATAGAGAATCTTCGGTACTTCTTTTAGAGTGTGGGCGTGGGCCTTCCGAGGTTTTAGGACCTGAGTATCAGGTGATAGTCATCCGCGTGTCCTGCAGTGAATGTAAGCATTGAACCGCGAATGGTCATTGGATTCCCACCAGGTGACCCCGCTCGCACCGGCCAGCGACTCTCGCGGGTACCTTAGCGGGTACCGAGCAGCAAACGGCACCCAAGCGGTGGTCCCGCGCCAGGAGGGTCAGGACCAGGACCACGGCCCGGCAGACCGCTGCGGAGAGGTTCGTCCGCCGGGATGTGGGGGATGTAGTGGTGCGGGGTGCGGCCATGCGGCTCGCCGCCCTCGAGTGCCCCCCTTGCGGGCCTGGCGGGCCTGGCCGGCCTCGAGGTCCAGGCTGTCCAGGCAGGGGCGGGCAGGGGAGGGCAGAGGGCAGGCTGGCAGGGGCGGGGCTGCAGTGTCGCGGCCTATTCTCTTGAGCGCCCCCCAGTGAGTGCTGCTCTCACACCGTTGTCATCGGGGTCCTTGGGTCCCGGGGACTGCCTTTGGACCCTCGGACCCTTGGGTGCGCCTAGCCTAGCCTGGAGGGAGGGCAGAGTCGAGCCGAGTCCTGCGGGACTGGCGGCGCCGGGCAACGCGCGGTGAAGTCAAAATCCAGCCTGCCGCACACTCGCCTCGCCCCGCCTCGCCCCACCCCGCCCCGCCTCGCCCCACCCGGCCCTGCCCCGCCCCGCCCCGCCTCGCCCCACCCCGCCCCGAGCCGCGCTAGTGCCTGGCGACCCTTACCGGCGGCAGCGACGCGAATATGCCTGTCGCGAAATGGCAACGGGCCCCATTCAAGGCGGCGCGGGCTTTGCCTTGGCGTCTGGCCGTCCACCACGCAGCGGGCCTCTGCTCTGCTCCGCTTCGCTCTCCGCCTTGTGATGGCGCCGAGCCTTCCAGCTTACACAGTAAATGCCTTACGGTGAAAGGCTGTACCAACATACAAATATGCTGGAGATTTTCTCCATAATACCAACGAAATTCGTCAAAATCTCTATAAGGTACAGTGAATTCTCAATGGTGTGTTACGAAGTCAGCGGCACCACCATAATATGGAACATTTTCACCATAATATGGAGAATCTTCACTGTAGAACATTTAGAGTGTACCAGCTCAGGGCTTCCAGGGATCCCAGGACTTCCAGGGTTTCCAGTACGTTCCACAGCTTTCAGGTCTTACAGGGCTATTCCAGGGTTTCGAGCTCTTAAGGGCGAGTGGACCGACGAACAGGGAGTGTCGCCGAACTGCAGCGCTGCAGTGAAAGGTCTTTTTGGCCTGCGTTCGCGTTCGCTGAAATGCTGAAAACGTGGCGGGGGATCACTCCCTCTCGGAAAATGGCGCACTGCGTTCTTGGGGGTGAGTTGGGGAGGGTAAGCGGAGCGCAGTGGCGGGCGTAGCGGTTTCGACATCCATTGTCACGCTCAGTCCCAGGATGGCTCTCAGTCAAAGAGCCTGTTGCTAATTTATCCAAAGCCCCTGATAATAAGTTAATGACGTTTGTTTTGACTTTAGCCTAAGGATGTCCGTGCCCGGACTGGGGTACAGTGGACCAGAAGACCGGTGGAAGCGGTCAAAATTCCGGAAGCGTTATGAGATCCAGAGTTGCTGAATGGGAGTCGAACCGAACGTGCGACCCCACCAATGGATTCCTCGTTCGGAGAGCAATCCATTGGTGGGGTCACACGCTCGATTCGAGGCCCATTTAGCATCTCTGGAACTCCAAACGCGTCCAGAGTTTTGTCCGCCTGCGCCGATCTTCTGGCCCACTGCGGGTGGTACTCACGCTTGCAGGCCTTTCGGTGCGTGATGGGCTTGGAGGCGTCGCGGTAGTAGCCCTCGCGGCAGTAGTGGCAGTGGCGGCCCGCCGTGAAGTGGCGGCACTTGAGGCACACGCCGCCGGACACGCGGCCAGACAGCTTCCACAGCTCCATGTTGAAGCGGCACTTGCGGGCGTGGCCGTTGCAGTTGCAGGCTGGAACAGAAAAGGGGCAAACGCGAAACATGATTAACTTGCTCGGTAGTTCCAGCAGTTCCCGGCTGGCTCCCCCGGCCCATCCACGGGATGAGCCCCAAACTTCCGAACGGTATATACACGCTTCATCCGATAGCTCGCCGCTTTTGTGTTCTTACGAAAGCAATTCCCCGACCCCACGCCAGGGCGTGCCGGGGCGTGCCGGGGCGTGCCGCGGCGTGGCACACCCCATCGGCCCATCCCTCACGGTAAGCGTGCCCAAGTTTGCCCAGCCAACTCCGTAGGCCGTGCCGCGGCCCGCGGACCGGCGGAGTGCGCGAAGCGGCGCGAAGGGAGCTTAACTTTTCTGTCCATAGCTTCTCGCCCGCTTCACAATTTTTGGCCCCAGTCCGCGCGACGCCCGCCCCGCCCCGCCTGTACCGGGAGCACTCCATCGCTGACCTTATTAAACTGAGAAAATTACTATGCGGGACGTTGTCTTGGTGCGTCCTAGCGCGCTGTCTACGCACGGGGCTGGCCGGGAGGGGCACGGAGTGCGAGAGGGACACGCGGCGAGAGACAGTGAGGGGCCGTGGACGGCCGTGGTGGAGTCGTCGCGGGGGGCTGGACCGGGAGGGCAAGTCCATACACCGCAAGTCAGCGCCGTCGGCGCCCAGCGGGCACTGCGGGCAGGGGTGGGAACCAAAGCGGTTGGTTTGCCTGACGCACACAAGAGCAGCCAGACAAAGAGAGAAACACAATTACCTTGCTCTATCTCACACACACCACCTCACACACACACACACACACACACACACCTACACCTACACACACCCACACACACACACACACACACACACACACACACACCGCACACACACACACACACGCACACACGCACACACACACACCGCAGTGTGCAGAGTCCCCTCACCGTGACACCTCCGCCGCTTCGCGCTTCGCACCGCTCGCGTGGCAGCCAGGCCCGGCACGGCCTGTCGAGAAGGTTGGCGTTGGCAGACGTCCTCGTAAAATCCAGCCGTCGGCCCGGACTACAGTGCAGGGCACGGCGCGGCGCGGCGCGGCACGACGCCCAGATGCGCGTAATTGCGTACACAGAGGCGGCGCTAGTTCCGGCGCTTCTTTGCGAAGCGTGGCGCCCCTCCTGCTTTACGGCGTGCACGACCTTCACGGCGGCAGCCCTGGCCGCCCCGGCCAGCACGTTCGCACCGCGTCACGGGGATGGTGGCAATAATAAGTCCGACAGGCCGCTGCCTGCGCCAACGGCCCGCGCCACGGCAGGGGGAGCGGGCCGCAATAAGGACACGGATAAAGTGCGTCCGAGGGACGGCACACAGTGGGCCAGAGGACCGGCAAGAATCCCGGACGCGTTTTGGGCTCCAGAGTCGCTGAACAGGACTCGAACCGAACGTGTGACCCCACCAATGGATTCCTCGCTCAGAGAGCAATCCATTGGTGGGGTCACACGATCGGTTCGAGTCCTGTTCAGCGACTCTGGAGCTCCAAAACGCGTCCGGGGTTTTGGCCGCCTCCACCGGTTTTCTGGGCTACTGTGCGGCCGAAGAGACGGGCAGGCGGCGCGCCCTTGGCAGGAATCCGGAGGAAATAGTAAGAGTCCTTTCCTGTGCTTCGCCTGCTCGAACCTCCGCGCGGCCCCACCTGCCGCGACGGCGGCGGCAGTGTGTTGTGGAGCCTAGACGCCCGCCGGGGCCAACCAGGCGGAGAGGGGCGGGCGTTGGGGGCTGCGCCCTCCGCGGGCCCTCCGGCACTTTGAGGAATCCCGTCCGAACAACAAGATATAAGGTATTCTTAGGGGCCGAGGGCCGAGGCTGCTGAGGCGCGTCGCGTCCCGAGGGACGGGCCCAGACGCGTGGCGGGGAGAGGGGGGGGGGGCGTCGCAAGAGGGCAAGGAGGCAGAAACGCGGCGAAAGCAGCGTGGCCGTCGGGGCCGAATCGCCGCAGCCAGGCAAGACTATGACATGGCCCTTCTCTCCCCGCGCACCCAGAGGGTTTGCTGAAGAGCTTCGAGCCAAGTCGCACATGGTGTTTTTCAACACTTGGTATTTCACTCGTGTACATTTTGTCAGAATGTCAAAACATATCTAAAATCCTGCGATCAAAATTCGAGCACCTCTGGAATCTGAAATTCTGAAAACTTATTCTGATATTGACGGCCCGAGTTCTACAGAATGCCAGAAAAAGTTTTCAGCTTTCAGAGGTGCGCGAATTTTGATCAGGTTTTCAGACAGGTTTCTGACGTTCAGACAAGATTTACACGAGAGTTTTCAAGTCGTACTTGGTACTTTTCACGTTGCACTTGGTAGATCTCACATCCCGTTGCTCTAGGCCTTCTTTGAATTACTCTCAAGTAGTAGAGGTGAAAGATCCCTTGTCCCCAGCCACCTTCTCTCCAGACTTACACCACCAGTAAACACAGGAGCAGCACAGCCTCGAATTTACTCCAAAGGTGCGGTCAAGAAGGGATAAGGGCAGGGCGAGGCGGGGCCGGTGGCTCCGCGGTGGGTAGCTCCGTGGAGCCATTCGCATGCACGGGTACCTCTCGCGGCGCCGCGCCGCCGTTACCGCTGCTGATAACCCCGCGGCCAGGCAGGCAGGCAGCCAGCCAGGCAGGCAGCCAGACACACCTGGGACGAGCACGGCGTCGAGACGACCGCCGCCAGGGCCGCCAGGGCCGCCAGGGCCGCCAGGGGGTGCAGCACCAGGGCTACCGGGGCAACGGCCTGGCCTCGCCGGGCGGTGTCTGCGGAAAGGCTGGGCAGACGCCCGGCGGGCAGGCAGTCCCGTAACGCAGGCCTGCCGGCGGGTTGCCTACCCCCGGAGTCCGCAGGAGCTCTCGCGCGTCCGGCCGGCGCGCACAGTGGGGCAGAAGACTGGAAGATGGCGGTTGGTCTTATGGAGCTCGAACCGAGCGTGTGACCCCACCAATGGCTTGCTTTCCGAAAAAGGAATCCATTAGTGGGGTCACACGGTCGGTTCGAGTCCCATTTAGCGACTCTGGAGCTCAAAAGGCATCTAGAGTTTCGGTCACCTCCACCGGTCTTCTGGCCCACTGTGCGGCGTCACCCCTGTGCACGTCGACGGACCGCGGGCTGACTCCGACACACTCTTAAGTCACGCTGTCTCTCTCGCACTCACGAAGCGTTCCGCGTGGGTGTGAGAGAGACAGCGCGCGTGGCGTTGCCGCCATTACCGGCCTGATTGATGGAATGTGGTCGCGCCGCCCGCCACCTTCCTCGCAGTGTTCGCACCTGCACGCGCCGCCAGCGGCACGTTTACGGGGAATGGCCGCGAAAGCGAGAGAGAGAGAGAGAGAGAGAGAGAGAGAGAGAGAGAGAGAGAGAGGAGAGAGAGAGAGAGAGAGAGAGAGAGAGAGAGAGAGAGAGAGAGAGAGAGAGAGAGAGAGAGAAGAGGGAGGGAGAGGGGACGGGGGAAGCTTGGAAACATCCCAGGATGGGCCTGGATGGCATTATGCGGAAGCGCTTCGCGGGTCCAATTGCACGGTTATTTCCGGTTATTTCGCAGTCTCGCGGTGCGGCGCGGTGTGGCCTGCACTGTCAAAACGACGGTGCAGCAGCACGCCTGGTCGCTTCTGCGCACACTCTGCCTCGGCCCTGCCTGCTTATGCGCCAGGGCACAGTGGGCCAGAAGACCGGTGAAGGCGGCCTAAACTCCAGACCCTTTTCGAACTCCAGAGTCGCTAACAAGGACTCGAACTGAACACCACAGTTGGATCCCTCGTACGGAGAGCAATGTATTGGTGGGGCCTCATTTAGCGACTCTGGAGCCGAAAACGCGTCTAGAATTTTGGCCGCCCCCGCCGGTCTTCTGGCCCACTGTGCAGGGTTCCCAGAGGTTCCGCTGTGCAAAGCGGCGGAGAGGGTTCGGAAAATGGCACAATGTAAATAAAGGAGGCTCTCGTCAAAAAGAGAGAGAAAGAATCCAGCCGAAGGGCATTGGCGAGAACATCAACAGCAGCATCACGCACCACCGCGTCAGCTCCCCTCGCCCTCCCCCTCTCCGGGCGGGGGGCGGGGCGAGGGGCGGGGGATGCGCCTTGCAGGATATTAAATTAGAGCTGGACTAATAGGCGGGGCGAAGGAGCCAACGACGAAACCGTGAAGGCGGTGAGATTTAACGCCCTCGCTGCGACAGTGCGACTACCTGCCCGGCCGTGCCTGGCCGCCTTTATTGTGGAACTACGTGCGGAGGATAAGGGGCGCTGGAGGGGCTAATGGCTGCCTGGCAAAAGGCGAAAGACTGAAGGGGGCGGGAGCGGACGAGAGACGCGCTACACTGTTTTACCCTCGGTTTTAACCGAGATTTCACCAGATTTTACCCAAGGTTTAACCAGTAGTTTTACAAGGGAACCTATTCAGGGGGTACACTCAGATTTCGACCAAACTTTTTTTTTCGTAAGAATAACATATAAGATTAAGAATGCACCTCAAAGTTAGTGCCAAGATATATATCTACACCCTTTACCAATTTTTTAAAACCTAAAAAAGGGGTAAAATAAGCTTTTTTGCAGTGTATGGGTCATTTTCGGACATCGAATCGGAAAATTTGAAGTCCGGTTTTTTGTCATTTCATTCAATGTTTGGTCCCCTTGTGACGAAAATGATAGAAAATTTTGGTCTGTTTCATATATTATCATATTTTGCACAAATTTGGTGCGACTGCCCAATTTACGACCGAAAATCTGCTCGTTGCATGTAAAAACATGGGCCATTTTACCCCTTTTTTCGGTTTAAAAAAGTCAGGAGGGGTGTGGACATGTATCTTGGCACCAACTTTGGGGTGCATTCTTAATCTTATATGTTATTCTTTCGAAAAAAAAAGTTTGGTCGAAATCTGAGTGTACCCCCTGAATAGGTTCCCTTGTTAGCCGAGGTTTCAGCCAAGGTTTTAGGCAACTCATACCCGAGGTTTTGCCAAAGGTTTTAGCCGATGTTTCACTCGAGGTTTTACCGGAAGGTTTT